ATAATAGTCAGTGAATATCGGTACTTTGGATGTTTTATGATTATGATATAATATTATCTCTTATTCTAAATTATGATGATGTTAATGGGTTCATGTGTCGATCCAAGGTCAAATTCTGAGTCAAGTTCAAGCTTATCTAGACCGAAATCTTCAACAGTGGACATGAAGCTGGTGGCGCTTCAATCATGTCACCAATTGGGAACATCTGGGGACACATCATCATTTGCAAAACACGGTGCTGACCCAAAGCGAATTCGGGCAGTTCTCCGGAAGCCTCCTTGTGACTGTAAGTGCTCGCTTCCATCATCAGTTTTGATTCAAACATGCCGGACATTTTGGTCATTACCTAAGACATCACAGGATGCTGTTTTATGGAGCCTCCAATCAGAAACTGGCCGGAAAACTTGGAAGATAGAAGGCTTGGTCCTGAAACGGGTCGGAAGTAGAATATATGTTTTATTCATTTTTAATACCGGGTTGGGTCAACATGTTTGATTCTCAACCCCAAATCCGACCCACGCCGGCGGCCTTTGGCCTTTGAACCACCGCAGGTTATCCTCTTTGTCGAACAGCCTGGCTACGCTTCTTGGGCATTGGCAAGGAGAGGCTCAACCGAACAAGGAAGCAGTACCGGGGGATTGATGACCGCACCATCAACCAGGGTAACGTGTCAATGAACTCAATTATGAAAAAAACAAGGTCCATGTACTGGTCCCTGTGCTGTTCAATTTATGTTGATTGTTGGTATTATTTTACTGTGTGTTTCCGTTTGCCCTCTGGTGATTTGAACCCAGTCTCGAACACCCATTTCAGGCAACACTGCACATCCAGCGATCCAAACTGCTTCTGTCCATGCTTTCTTTGGACACATGTGGTGGACAGCTGGTGAGAGCATGCCCACCAAGTTACTTGATTTGTTATTTTGTTTTTCATGGTTCAGGCAACCCTGAGTAAGTGGTAAAAATGATGATGGTAAACCAACCATTTCAAATACTGCCTTGTACCCAAAACCTTTGAGGAAACCTTTCAAATACCGGTAAGTCGAATCAACAAATTTGAACTAAACATACCGAGTGAACTCAACCTGCCCAGGTTTGAATCTGAGCCAACGACCAGTGAGCACATGAGGGAGCAATTGCTCCAACGCTTGGTGGACGAGAGGCTTTTGGGGCCTACCCGGCAGGTGATGGAGATGTGTCCTGAAGAACTTCCATTAAGGGAACTTCCACCAGGATCTATGTCAAGTTTATATCTCATGTACATTGCATTTCAACGGATCTCGCATTCAAAACCAGCTTCGAGAAGTACCTTCTACGTAGTGGCGAAGCAGTGGTCTTGCTGCCTTCGCTTTAGACGCAAGTGCGAGCATGCCATGTGTGCTACATGTCAGTCTTTGAAATCACAAATTCATGCAGCGACTGACCTTTGTCAGCCACAACAGTTTTTATCCGTTGCTGTTATTTTTGTTTGTTCAGGTTTGTTTTGATGGGTATGGCTTAATATGGCCTAATCATGAATCCCCCCACTCCCCCCACCCCTCACCACCGCTGAGGATTTCAAAGTTCACGCAGAACTTTGCGATGAACTGCTGGGGCACTACTCAGCCCAATGGGCTGACCGGCAGGTGTACTGGAAGGCCCGTGAGAGGAGTTCGACTCAGAGGGACTTATTGGTTGTCATAATAGATTCCTTTGACCGATCAAAAATATGCCTGCCATCCTGGCCACTGAAGAGAACACCTAAAAGGTCAGTTTATGAACTTCACCTGAGATACTTGACATCAACAATATTTTTTTGCAATTTTTCATTTACAGGAACTTTTGTTTTTCAATTTTGTGTTTCCCTGAACCCCTCCCATGGATCAACCAGAACCATCCCTCCCGACACTGGATTGAGGAGCATCATTGGTTCTAACTGCAGTTTTTTGCCATGGGCATGGACTTTACCTGTACCTAAGTACGGAAGAGGGCATGAGTGCTGGAAGCAATTGGAACTGGGAATGTGTATCTTGACTTGAACTAGTTTTTCATATCGCTATAATGGCAATGGTACTGATCTTGTGTTCCTCTTACCCTGGTCGCTTCTGTGGTCTTAGGTCATGCTGTCCTTGCAGAAAGTCTGGAGGCGTTGCAGGGCCACCAGCACTTCCTTTCCGGGGGAGTTTCCTGGAGTTGTCATCCCTGGGGTTTTGGATGGTAGCTTTGAGATTTTGATGATATCCTTTGATGATAGCCTGCTGCCGTTTGCTGTTTCTTTGGATGAGTTAAGTTAGTGGTTGCCTTTTTTGTTTGAACATCTTAGGCTGTGGCTGCAAAGCGATAACACGGTCAAAGAGATACGTAACAACAACGGAGCCCGAATGTTGAGCGTATTACTCCAAACTGGAGTTTTCAGAACGACATCACAACATCACCTCACAGTTGGACACACCCACGAGGATATAGATGCTGTTTTCAGCCTTTGTACGGCATGTTTGCACACTGCTCCCCGGTTGGAAACCCCGCGAGACATTGCCCAGCGAATTGACGAACGTGTGGGGCCAGTTTTTAGGAAGAAGGGTGTGGAGTTTTCAGTTGAGCTTTTGGGTGTGGTGCTTTGGTTGCTTTGAGTAGTTTTTTCTTTTTTGCATAGGCGATGGGTATACGATGGGTCTAGTTCTCAAATTAAGGATCTTAGAATACATATCTTCCTGTCCCATTGATTTTGGCGCATCCCTTAAGGCACGACAATGGACATCCATTCTTCCTGGGGCTGTTACATTCAAAAATGCTTTCAGGGCACGAAAACCAGATGCTGAAGGGGAACGGGTTCCATTGCCGCAGAGTTTCTCCTACATGCTGCGATCAGGTGGCTGGACATTATTGATATTAATCTATTATGTATTTTTATATTATATCATATATTATTTATATCGCGATTTCTCCATGCAATAGGTATGTGTTCGATATCATGTAAACACGTTTTAGACATGTTTACGTACATGCCCTTTTCAGCTAGGTCTTCCACATCAAGGTCAAGGATTAGAGTTGGATGAGCGGCAACCGAGGGCTTGGAGAACTCAGGATGGGTCTCGGGATGTGTTCTGCATGGTGAAACAAGCCATGAGTTCCACGCAGCTTTGTCAGAACCCGCTTCTGGTTTGGCCAGCTACATTGGGGGCCCAGTCCCAAAAGATGCTTGAGGATTGCAACAGCCCCACTTGCCCAATTCAGGGGTGTGAAATCAGCGACGATAGGATTGAGGAACTGAAATTGCTACGGGAGGCTATTTCACGGGACTTCCCTCACATGAGAAGGACTGTTGCATGGTACACTGGAATGATCGATAAAACCAGGGATTCCTCAGTGCGACCAATTTCTTTGACTTTTGTGCGGCACAACACTGCACACGATTTAGATAATGTGAATGTTCAACTTGGGCAAAGACCTGTGCCCCCGAAACCACATGAACTCCAAGTGGTGTTTCACCGGGCCAGGCTTTGATGTTTGGGGTTGTGGGATTACGGGAAAAAGGACACCCTGGCAAGAGTGAACCATGAACACAATGTGATCAATATGTGAAGTATCTGTGACCGTGTTTCATGTGATCAATTTGTGAACGGGTTTCATTTGTGCTGGATGTCACTGCTCATTCTTGGTGTCAGGTCTGAATTTACTTGTTAGCTTTCAGCAAGGCTTGATTTGACTGGGTGTGGGGGCGAGGGTAGTCGCCATGGATGCCAGTGTCTTTGAGGGGGATGCACATCTAGAACAACTGATGACATATTTCGATACAGTTACTTGGATTATTTTATTTTGCCCATTTTGGCCCTCGGTGTTTGTTGGTGTGCTTCATGGCATGGTCATTCCGAATTTGTGATTACTGTTGCTCAGTTTTCTATTGACATTGCTCTCTAAGGTGGTAGCTTCCAAAAACTTGGGGCAACATCTTCAAGATGTCTTTGGTGACGATGACAAAATGGACAAGGTTTGGGTCTCAAACTCGATGTCAGAAAAGTTGTACCAACATGAATTTGATTATCCTTTGGCCCCAAGGCCATCTTCCACTATGTCCTAGATGGTGCTTCGATCCCAGCCAGCAAAGCGCCCCTCAACCTGATTCCAGTTGATTCCATGGAAGAATTCTGGCTTCCCTTGAACAAGTTCAATTTTGGACCTGACTCCAAAAATGGATGCCGGGTTGGGTCGAAATTGGGGTGGTGCAGTTGATGTTATCAACATTCATCTGTTGTTTAAATGATTTTGAATATAACTTCTTTCTGCTGTTTTCTGTTTCATCTTTGGGTTTCAATTTCAATCTACTGAATCCAGCTCGATGTAGTGTTCCAATTTGGGCTTCTTGTTTTACCACCTGTTCCCTGAAGTCTACCCATCCAACCAGCAGTATGCCGCCCACTTTGGTGAGTTCCTCCTGCGTGGATACAAACCAGCGATGGGCACCATCGACTGCAAGTTTCCATTCAGAGATTCTACCCGTGCGATCAAGGATGGGAGTGTGGGAATCGTTGACGGTTTCACAAAGGTTCTCATAATGCTGGCGATAGTGGGATTCTTAGTGGAGCTTGAGGTGAACCGGGATGATCTCAATGGAACAAGGTTGGGGGAGAGCCTCAAATCGTTTGCAGCAATCCGATGCACATACCAGCACTATGACAACCCAAGCCATCACTTTTTGCTTTCTTTGAGACACTCGATATGGTAACTTTGATGTTTTGCCTTTAATTTGTCAAGCCATGACGTAAAGTGTGTTTTTCAATTTGTCATTTTGGGTATGTCATCTTACTGTAATTTGGATTGTCTGGGATTTGCTTCAACCCTGTGTGCTAAGAACTGGGGTACGTTACAGCTGAAAAGATCTCGCCGAGCCCAATCAGTATGCTTGCTGACATCCAGCAAGCCATCAACATAGAGCGCAAAATGAACAAGTCAAACAAGGCTTTGAAGGACATCATGGCTCGTGTGGTATCAGACTACAACAAGATGGTGTCGATCAAACGACACAAGATCGATGGGGCCAGACGCAATTTGATCTACAACCTGTTTCTTAGCCAAAAAAAACAATCAATCAATGAATCATTAGACATTTCCCAATCACTACGGGTCCCTTGTTGACGTGTTGTAGCCGGTTTGTCAGGCTGCGACTTCCTCAAGCCTGCCTGGACTTGCTGCACAAGCATTATGATGGCTATCGTCACGAACAGTCAGGTTGGGTTGGGGGCACTTGGCCAAAACATGTTCTTAGATTGTTTCATGGTGTTTTCTTACAAAGCCCTATGTGATTACTGTTGGCTGCCGATTCTGGTTTCTGAATGTCATTGTATCAACCCTGTAGGACTACCCCATGACGTGCTGACACATGATTTTTTCGTTCCTGGTTCCACCACGCGGAAAGACTGTGATATCTACAAGGGGAAGGAGCTGTTTTCCACTATCTTGACAACCTCCCCAGAGACATGTGCGACCTACTTCAAGAGGGCCATTGAGGACGGTTTTGTTTTGTCCATTTTATGTTCTTGATTTTTTATTCCTGAAATTGGTTTGGTTTCTACTTATAACGTATTGAACTTATTATCAATGACAAGTAATGCCGGTGTTACCCATGAGGATTTCTGTCGAAGAGCAGGGCAATCGGCCACTGTGAAGAAGAAGGAGATCATGGGGAAGGGTTCACCAGGGGAGGGGGGGTTTCAAAATGCGCCCCAATTATTTATCTCGGGTTTGATTGATAATATGGTGGCCCAATAATATCCCAATTATATTTACCATTTTATGACTCTATGTCGCTTTAAAATTACAGGCACCTACATGCAGTGAATCAAAAAAAACCATTCCAGGTTTCCAGTTCCATCCAAACATGCCCCCCCCGACCTGAGAAACAAAGCCAAATCTCCGAAGATGAGCACTTTCTGCTCCACGACGTTTGCTGCCTGTGGCTCTGGGTCAAGCAGAAGATGGCAGAGTCTTTTACTGTGACCGAGGTTGAGAAACACCAGGAATTGTTTGACAAGGGGTGCTTCAGCAGCAACAATCAACTTACTTTACTTCAAAGTAAATATATTGTCAAAATTTATTCGGTTGCCATTTCATCTGGCTAAGGCCAACACATGTTGATTGGTCGCCAAATTTGTTTGGCTAACCCTGGTAGGTTGTGATTGGTCGCTAAATGCAGTTGGTTAAACCCGACAAAAAGTGATTGCTAGCCAAAATATTTTGGCTAAGACTGCTTCAAAAACATGCGTGTTCCAGAAAACCCGTCACAAATAGTTGCTCGTAGCAAAATCGATTTGGCCAGCAAAAATCTTACTGGATCAATCACTTTTGGATTTGAAATTTCATGGCTGAAAAATCATGCGTGTTCCAGAAACTCCGTCATAATTTCAAGGATACCGGGGTAGTCAATCATGAGGCTCACAACATGGGAAGATTCTGAAGATCATGGGGGTCTTGAAATACTAGCTTTTTGTGATGCGTGTTCTGGAATACCCGTCACATTAGCCATGAAAATTTCAAGATGTAAATGTGATTGATTTAAAAAATATATTTGAGAAAATATTCAAATTCTAAATCTTGTTTTTTTTGGGAATTTCTCCTGGGTTGCCCTTGGACAGCCCTGTCATCACGCATACTCGGCACCTCTGAGGCATTTGGATTCGGACCTGAGTGCCATTCTCAAGTCTGGAGAGCCCCCCGTGTTTGAACGGATCCCCTTTATTTTGGAGGACCGGTCTTTGAATGCCCTTTTGTTTTCAAAATGTAAACTACTTTTGAATTGAATCTTACATGTTATATAATGTCTATGCGTGTTTTTCGTTTCAACATCTAAATCGAACTGGATGGCTGGGCTTAAGATCTTTAAATGTTGGCCTTCCCACAAAAAGATAAGCCATGAGATGGGATATAAAATATTATATGATTGACCAGATCATTCATTCACATTGTAAACTGGTCTGCATCATCATCTCGGTCAACTTGTGCTGGGAGGCCCAAGGGAAGATGATGATCGACTATGTGGCCAGCCACCAGGATCGTTCAAAGAATGCGCTGTTGAAATCAATCGAGGCAACATACTTAGCGTGGGTGGAGGACTTGAGAGCTGATGAGGCCCAATTCGTCAGTGATAGGATCCTGAACCTCAGACTTTAACTTAGACAGCACATTTTTGTTTTTTACCCCTGCCCAGCAACGAGCTACTATATGCCACATCATCTTCTAACACTGACACATTCTATTGAAGTATCCATGTGTTGGCTTTGATTCGGTGCCCATTCTCTATATATGAAAATAAATTACTGTAACATGCGCTCAGCTGCTAGTCCCCTTGTGGCTGAGGATGGAAAAAGAGGGGCAGAAAACAAGGAACCGCTTGATCAAGCAGTTGGAGGACTGGTATCAAGGTTTTGGGGGTGTGGGATTCCATTGGAATCTGGGTTTGAGGATTCAAAATCAAACCACATTGTCAAAGATAATATGTGGCATAGGGTAAACAATCTCAGTTTGTCATTGTACTGGCCATGAGATGTGCATTGAATGAATGATAATTAGACATTCTGGTCTTCCCATCGTGTTTTCATAACCTCAGGATTGCCACAACCGCGCCTGGGAAGCAGTGGCCGAGTTCATGGGGCAGAACCTGGCGGTTTTTGCTGGCAAGGTGGCAGAGGGTGAGTCCACGGTCATGCCCAAGAGCAGGTCATGGCTAAGAGAGACAATCCAGGAGAATGCCAACTCACAGGATGTTCCGGGATCGGTTTGGGGTGGTTTGGAAATAATATATATATATATATATCACATTATATAATATAAATATTATCATTGTAATATAATATAAGAAATATATATATTATTAAATCAAAATATTTTAAATATTAATTAGTATAAATATAATATATATAATATATATTATATTAATAATATAATATAGCATAATATGATGATATATGTATATATATATATATACAATATATTACAAATATAATATTATATTATATAATATAATACAACATAATATAATATAATATGATATAATATAATATAATATAACATAATATGATATATTATAATATTAGTTAAAAAATAAAATAATATATATATATATATATATCAAAGTTATTATTCTAATTAATGTTTCTGATATGTAGTTATCATCATCTTTACAACCTTGAACAACGGATGTATATATTAAAAAAAAAACAGATGTTCCAATGGCCATCCGATTTTACTTGGGGTCCCAAGATAACCAGGTTGAATTCGTTCTAACAAACCCCTTATACCCAATGCCAATTGATTTAAATCATGCCAATTCATGTAAAGAGGGTTGCCCATTGCTGGCCCTTACTTGCCCCTGAGGATGATCACTCAATCTGTTTGTGGATGAATTGCACGACAATTGGAATCCTTGGGGCGCACCACAAGAATTTCATCTACAATTACGTTGCCAATGTTTTGGCAGATTATCCTTTGAATGGCATTTGCTTCCTGGTTTT